TCAAATCAATTAATTTCTAGTTCTCATTCTGCACATGTTATTTCAAGGTTTTAAATTTTTCACTTATATCTTCTTATCCATAGATATTATTTGGATGGCATGTAGACTGCCTTCCTGGTGGGATGTTCTATCTCCTGGCTTATCATACCTTTTTAACAGATGTTGATGGTCAATTTCAAAACTCATCAGGCAATGAAAGGAGACAAAGACGGAGACCCACATTGGAGCACTGGACAGAAATCTCAAGGTCCAAATCAGGAGCAGAAGGAGAGGGAGCACGAGCAAGGAACTCAGGACCGTGAGGGGTGCACCCACACACTGAGACAATGGGGATGTTCTATCGGGAACTCACCAAGGCCAGCTGGCCTGGGTCTGAAAAAGCATGGGATAAATCCGGACCAGCTGAACATAGCGGACAATGAGGAATACTGAGAACTCAAGAACAATGGCAGTGGGTTTTTGTTCCTACTGCACATACTGGCTTTGGGGGAGCCTAGGCAGTTTGGATGCTCACCTTACTAGACCTGGATGGAGGTGGGCAGTCCTTGATTGCTCTTGGAGCAGATGAGGGAGGGGGACTTGATCGGGGGAGGGGGAGGGAAATGGGAGGCAGTGGCGGGGAGGAGGCAGAAATCCTTAATAAATAAATAAATTAAAAAAAATTTTAAAAAAGCATCATAAAAAAACTAAAAAAAGAAGTGACAAAAGTATGAATCCTTACAGATAACTTCTCATTACGAGTCAATAAAGACTGTATCATTTCTAAAAGTCTCTCATTCTTGACTCTGTTATGAAACCATTTCTTTAGCGATATCATATGAAAAAAATAATAGCCACCATGGCCACAAAAATATATGTACCAGGTAGGTCATACAGCTTAGTTCTTGCATCAATCCATTCATAGCAGAAACAAAAAATATTATTATATTCCTGGGTAGTGATATTGTCTACAATTATCTTGGGATTGGTTTACAATCTTCAAATTTATTTGTTTATTTATTTATTTACCAATCAATCTGATACTTAGGTATCAAGTTAACTTACCTCCCTTATAATTTTGAGAAAATTGTAGGTGTAATACTGTGGATTTTTCAGCAGGTGTCAGAGTTGTGGCAGTAAGGCAGATCAGGGCCTGAATCACCTGAGACTCAGCAAAAAATTTTAAAAGTAGCGCACCTTCACAGGGAGAAATTTGAGCTTCACAGGCAGAAGCTCAAAGGACTCAGAGCTTGCAGGCAATTGCGAGCTGTGAAGTTGCTGGTGGATTTTGGGTCAGTGGTTCTCATGGTTCCAATCTGGGAATGCAAGCCAGTTTTCTAGGTGCAGGCATAGAGCTCAGGCTGATCAGAGCAGGCCAGACAGCAGCTGGACCTGAGAAGCAGACCCTAGCTTGGGTAGCAGCAGTGAGCCACATGGGTCAGAGAAGCCACAGAGGAGTTGCCGCAGGAATCTGCAGGCATCAGTTACTCAGCCACTTAGCTGGCAGGACTGAGCCACACAGGGGTAGGAGGGCTAGAAATTACCAAGTCCCTACTGAGGATCAGCCAACCCAAACCTTGCTCAGCTTTCAGGCAGTTAAAGTACATGAGACCACGCCCAGAGTGGGCCAGTATCCTAAAGGCTATTGTCTGGGGGAGTTCCCACAACACAGGGACTGCTGGGACCAACAATTCTGAGAGCTGGGATTCTGACACACAAGGCGGCAGTCACTATGCAGTTCAGAGGTTGGGGACAGAGCAGCTTGTTAGCTAGAAGAATCTAATCATGTATAAAAGAAATATCTTTGAATGTAACTAATTCATGGGAAAACCCAGAGCATTTTAGTTGCTGAAACAAAATACCAAAGTGGGTGGAGGAAAAGCCATGCACAGTTCTACAATAAAGTGAAATGTGTCCTTGCAGATCTGAGAACTCACAATGAAACAATGTGTATTTTAGCCAACCTGAGCTTCGGGTGACCTGTGGTTAACTCTAAGGGGACTCTGTATAAAGAGAAATTTGCGCAAGGTGAGTTTCAGATCTTCTGTGCTCTTTATTTGGACAATGGCACTGTGTAGGGAGTGGGCATCTGTTTTGGAGGTGTCTTGTCCCAGAACCAGTTCTTAGGATTCAGGATATTGGCAAGGTCACACCCCTTACTGAAGCGAGGGTTTGGGGCCAAGTTACTGTTGAGCAGAGGGCACGAGAGGCCAAGTCCACAGCTCTTGACATTGCTCTCCTAGTTGGGACACACAGGGTGCAATCTACCACCCCAGCAATGAAAGTGTGAAAGACTTTCTTCCAAGGAGCTGCCCAAGCCCAGGGCCAGGGTTATGAGTTATGCAGGTACCTAACTGCATAGCGCACCCCAAATGCAGATACCCACAAGTACAGCAGGTCTCAAGTGTGACGTGAACTGTTTGTAAATGGTTGGGGCATGGAGATTCATTCTGTGATTCTGCAAGTGACAGAAGCGCTCTACAAAGCCTCATTTGCAGACTCCACCCAAAGTTCCACTGTGCCAGGCAGCATTTCCCAGGAGAGTCGTAGGCTGCTGTGTTCATTCTTTTCTGCACCAAACCCAAAAGGAGCAGGAATGGGGACAGTTTTCATATTTTTCTTTTTTTCTCCTTCTTGTAGGACTGAGATTAAACTCAGGGTCTTGTGCATGTGAGACAAATGCTCTGTCACAGAGTTGTATCCAAATCAGTTTTCTGTTTAAATATCAAACATCTGTAGCTTATCAGGCTACCTCCCTTGACTATGGTGCAAATGGCCAATAAGAAACCTGTTTAGCATCTCAGACAAGAGTAAGCCCTAAACACCAGGATGGGAAGTATATGTGTCTGAGAAAGTCAGTATCAACCTTTGTGGGTCCATTAGCTGTAACCTCTGTCAAACTTTAAGCTAAGTAAGAAAACACAGAGGATTTGGATTGGAATTTGGGTACACTCTAACCTAGCTCTCTTGGTGTATTAGTGATGGAGGAGGGTCATCTTTCTATCTGTTGCTTTCATTGGTTAATTAATAAAGAAAACTGCCTAGGCCCATTTGATAGGCCAACCCTTAGGTGGGTGGAGTAAACAGAACAGAATGCTGGGAGAAAAAAGCCCAGTCAGCCAGTCCCCATGATTCTCTCACTCCAGACAGACATAGGTTAAGATCTTTCCTGGTAAGCCAGCTCGTGGTGCTACACAGCATATTAGAAATGGGTTAATCAAAGATGTGAGAATCAGCCAATAAGAGGCTAAAACTAATGGGCCAGGCAGTGTTTAAAAGAATACAATTTCTGTGTAATTATTTCAGGGCATAAGCTAGCCATGCGGGCGGCTGGGTCCAGGGGATGCAACCCCGCCGCATGTATTGCAACGTATTAGTCCAGTGTTCTTTGCTATACTGAAATATTCAGTCAGGCTGCTCTATTTAACTGACAGATTGAGAGGATAAAGGCCAAGGTCAGGCAGCCTCATATATGGGCCTTTGGAGAGACTGTTGGCAGGTGGCATTATGGCAGGTGTATGACATGGAGGAGGAAGAGATCACACCGTAAGACAGCAAGCCATGAGAACTATCTGAATCCCTCCCAAAGGCAGCACCCTCCATGATCTAGTGCCACCTCACATACCACATTGTCAAGGACCAGGTTGTCAATAACAACCCCTGGGGGGAACTTTCAAACCATAGCTCAACCACAAGTCAGTTTCTCTGTCATCTGCCTCAGGCTCCCTAATACGAAGCCTCCTCTATTTTGAAATGAGAATAAAACTTCTCTCACCACATTCCTGTGATAAAAAGATAATAGACATAAAATAGTGTGGAAATTGTAGTTGTTAGAGTACAGTGCCACTGGTCCTCTATCATGTTTGTTCTTCCTTTACATAGTACAGTTCTTTATGATTTATTTTTATTTTCTGACTATGTGTGTTTGGCAGCATATGTGTCTGTGCATTGAGTGTGTCTGATGTCCATGGAAATGAGGAGTGGACATTAGATCCGGACTAGTGGATGTGAGCTCCCATGTGGATTCTGAGAACTGAACCTGGGTCTTCTGCAAGAGCAGCAGTGCCCTTCACCACTGAACCATTTCCCTAGCGCCATGGTAGTTCTTTTCTTAGCAAGATGTAAGGGTTTTCACTGTGATTCAACTGCCTACATGCAATTTAGCTGTTCCATGTTGACTATATTTCCTAAATGACTTTTAACATCAACTAGTCATGATTCTAAAATATGAGGAATAACAAACTGTCGTGTCCTGGAGTATAATGTTATAGAAGTAGCTGTAGTGACAGCCTCCTCATGGCTGGATTCACGAGAGTCCAGCAGGGAAATTTCTGCCCTCACTCACCTTTCTGAAATGCAAGTTGGACCTACACTGGGTCACAGTAAAAGAAAGAGTTAAGAATCCTGGTCACGTATTAGAGCCATTCCTTTTGACAATCTTTTAACATTACAGTAGAATGCTTTTAAAGGTAATGTCAAAGCTGGAGAGAGCACTTTGTGGTTAAGCACACTGACTGTTCTTCCAGAGGACATCAGGTTCAATTCCCAGCAACTACACTTGGCTCACAACCATCTATTACTATAGTTCCAGAAGATTCAATGCCATTTTCTGACTTCTGTGGGCAATAAGAAAAGATGGTGTACCCAGACACGCTGACAGACAAAACAACAATACACATAAAATAGACGAATTCTTTTTAGGAAAAGCATAAAGGATAACATCAGTGGTAGTCATTCTCTGTCCTTGCCTATCAGGATGGGTGTGTGGCTTCTGATGACTGAGAAGGAAATGCACATCCTCCTGAGCCTAACCCTCAGCCCCAGATCCAGGATATTATGGGTCAAGAGCATGTATTTTCATAGCTGACTCTTCAGTTGGTCTTGGTCTTACTGACACCCATATGAGAAGTATAAAGACCGACAATGAAGAGTGGCTGACTATGAGAGAATTTGAAATTAAAGGGGGATATGAAAAATACGAAAAATGGAAAAGAAGTATTCATTGCAATGGAGCCGTCTTCAAGATTGGATAAAGGCATGCTGGTGGTAGATAGCTCCGTGTTTCCTGGGTAAGATGGTGAATTAAATGGATACCTGCATTACAAGATTGCCCCACAGTTCCTCTCCCAGGTCATTGTGTCACACTTGTTCTTCAACAGCTGAGTATCATGGGTCAGACCTGTAATCCCAGCACTTGGGGATGCTGAGACAGGAGATTGCTCAGAGATCAAGGATGGCTTATACTCTGTAGTGAGTTCCAGGAGAGGTTACAGAGTGAGGCCTGCCTCAACTCCACCTACACAAAAATAAAAGTAAAAGAAGAGAAATCATTTTGAAATAAGTTCTTAGTTCTTCACTTTTATCGACCTTGTAAACTGGGAATACCAGGAGGTTTCCTTGGTAGCTGAATCTATTTCTTATGATGTAGGGTACACAGATCTTTCTGGACTGTGTCTCAGATGGCCTATCCCTGTGTCATCCTCACAATAAAGGACAAAAGTTTTCTCATTGAGTATTGGCTGAGCTGCATCTAAAGCATGGGGAGTACAGGTGTGAGCCCCTGGCCAGGGCAAGGCTGCACCTTCATACCCTACCTGCAGTTACTACTGTGGAGGAGAGGAATCTGTAGGAAATGATGCTGCAGCTAAGGGGTGGGATGGCTATTTCTGGCCTTAGGACTAAAAACCATGTCATGGAACAGTCTTCCCTGAGCTGGGTCATGGAGGACAGTTCTGACAATGTGTACAATGCAGCTATCTACACAGGGAAAGAAGAGTATGAGAAACAAGCCCTCAGTGTGTCTGAAAGCTGTGGGTGATCAAGTGGCTTCCCTTGTTTGAGCTCATGTGAAAATCACCAGGACAGGAAAAGGGGATCTAAATGTTTCCTTGACTCATTGTGGGGCACATGGGGAGTAGTTTCGATGAAGACAGCTTGTATTTAACAAGGGTACATACAAACAAAAATTTTGAGAAGGTGGTTAGAAATACCTCACTCACAAACTAAAACCAAAGACTCTCCCATCATTAACTCTCTGTCTTTCAGGAAGGACATCTACCAAGCAGACCCACCTAGGATAAGGGGACAGGTAATTATTCTGTTCTGATGTCTCAGACTATTGTCTATAAATTGTTTGTTTTCCATCTCTGTGCCTTTATAAGTTTGAAAATTGACAAATTTGTGTTTGATCAAATTTGATTTATTCTGTGGTGCTTATATAGTTGTGATTTCCCAAGCATAAAAGGCCAGGGCTGCTTTGAGCATCAAAATACTTGAGATACAGGTGGGAACAAACATTGGGAGCCGTCAAATAAATGATCTCTTCTGCTTTCAGAGGGAAAACCCAACAAGCCCAGAGTGAACAAAGAAAAACATAACTGCCCTGTGACCTTCTGCCATGATGTCTGAGGCCCTCATCTGAAAATTGTTAGTTGTTCATCTCTGGCATGTTACTTTTAAAATTCAGTGATAATAAAAATGGATTTTATCATATGGCAACAACCCATGTAGTGGAACCTGTCTAAGAAGAAACATATGGTATCGTGTATGGAGATAAATTCTGCTAACATCTGGGACAAGTGAATTATGACAGTGAAATCCTTGATTGAAGCTACCAGTCATACCAACAGAGCTTCTAACCTATTGTCTCACCCCAGAATAACTGAAGCTGCCTGTCACATAGGAGCTTTTAATTCACCATTTTACCCAATAAACATGGAAGCCATCTACCACCAGAATACTTTTATCAGATCTTGAAGATGGCATCTATTGCAATGAATACTTCTTTTCTATTTCCCTGATTTTTCATATCCCCCTTTAATTTCAAATTCTCTCACAGTTAGCCACTTTTCATTGTCGGACTTTATACTTTTCATATGGGTGTCAGTAAGAGCCCTGGCCCTGGCCCTGGGTCCTGGGCCCTGGGTCCTGGGCCCTGGGTCCTGGGCCCTGGGCGGGCTCTTCTCGGATGGACGCGTGGCGGGCGCGCGCGCGCTCGCTCCGGCGGTGGCGGCGGCCGCCGGTGGTACCCGAGATCCACCGGTCGGCCGATGCCCGTCTCCCGATGGCGGGCTCCTCCGTTCTTTCTTCCGCTCCTCTGGGGAAGCTCCTCGGCTCCGCGGCGGCGCCGTCCGTTCGCCCGCCGGCCCCGTTCCGTTCTCGGTCGCGCCCCTCATCCGGGCCTTGGCCAAGCCGCGGGTGGGTACGGCGCGGGGGAGGCTTGACCTTGACAGTGACCTTGAGGGACGCTGTGGGGTACTAGAAACCAGCAGGTTCAAAACAGTGTTTGCAGGAGGGAAGAGCACACTCAGAATTGTCAGGAGTTCCATGCAAGATTTTTGTTTTGCTTTTTCATAGTTTTCAGCCCTTACTCCACAGAGAATTCTTCTGTACTGTGAAAGTGGATAACATTTCTCAGGAGTAGAGTGAAGTCTCCTTTCCTTCCGTGTCTACTTTATCAGCCATCTAAGCTGATGAACCCCTACTTTTCCTTTCCATCCAGGAGAGATGCTAGAGTACCTGTGGAATGGACATTTTAAGATGTAAGTAGGCTCAGGATAGCCAGGAGTTGATGCATATTTGAGAATTGAGCTGAGAATGCGTTGGACTTTTCATTCAGAATGTTTGCCAAGATGTAAGAATGCCAAGATCTCAGGATTCTTCCAGAAAACCATGATATATGAAGATGTTTCAAGCTTTAAGACTAATAAAACATAGTAGTGATGTTTTGTTTGTATTTTAATAAATAAAGTTTGCCTGAAGTTCAGGGAGTCACACTGATTAGCTTTGCAGACCAGGCAGTGGTGACACACACCTTTAATCCCAGGAGCCACACTTGTTTGCCATAGAACGGGGCAGTAGTGGTACATGCCTTTAATCCCAGCCCTAGAGAGGAATATAAGACAGGAGGAGACAGCTCTTATATAGTCTCATTCTTAGATGCCTGGAGGCAGGATCACCATTGCGGACTGAGACAGAGGTAAGAGCCAGTGGTTAGCTGTTTTGTTTTTCTGACTTTCAGGTTGAACCCCAATTTCTGTCTCTGGGTTTTATTAATCATGCTACATAACATTTTATCAAATTAATTCACACTATTAAATAAATATACTTTCAGTTTTTCTTTTTCTTCATATTTAGTTACTTATTGGTGACTTAAAAATGATGCATATACTACAAAAATCAAAATGGTCAGGTGTTTGTCATATCTTTTACATTCCTGGCACTTAGGAGGCTGAGAGAGGAGCATGGAGAATTTAAGGCTACTCACGGGTGCTGAGTGACAGCTTGCTCCAAAAGATAAAAAATTATGAAGAAAGTGGGTACATGTTGCCCTTGGCTATATCTTGGATACTCATTGTATGTTAAGAGAGAAAATTCACATTTTGCAAGAAAGATCATAGTGTGCTAGTTTCTGAGAATTTAAAAACTTTCTTACTTGTATTAAAAATGATGTCACATGAATGTGCCACGACAGCCCCCCCCCGCCAAAAAAAAGAAAGAGAACAAAAAAGGAAGAAATAAAGAAAATGAAATCCAAGGCAATGCTATTTAATTTTCTGCAGATGTCACCACTGTTGTGATACTACAGGGATGGGCAAGTCCCATTCTTTCCCTTGTTTCAATGATTTTGTTTCAGTCAACCACACTAAACACACTAGATGATTCCAAGTTTTTTTTGCAATTAAATCATTCTGATAACTATTTTAGAATAGTAATAATTCACTCATCAATAACCATAAGAAAAATAATATAAAATATGACTGAAGAAATTTTAGAAGGATTTTAAAAGTCAGTTAAGAAAGTTCAGTTAAGAAAGATTTTATAAGGTCAAATGTGATTATCTCATTTTCTTTTTGTGCTGAGAAATGCTCTGAGAATAGAGCAGATGAACAGTGAATATTTGTGTATGGATTCAGAAGTGTGGTTGCAGTTTAGAATTTCCTTCCAAACAGAGCCTACACGGTGGTGAGGAAATGGAAAAGGTTTATTGGAATATGGGTAATAACTGGGGAAAAAGATTTCTAATCAGTTTTTTTAAACTTCAGAACAAAAATTAGATTATTTTTTAAGAATCTCTGAAGGACTTTTAGTATAAAGCAAAAGAAAACTTGAAAATTTTCTCTTCAGCTGGGCCAGACATTGTTGTGTGAAGAGAACAGGTGGACGAGAATAAACACTTGGCATGTATGAATTACTATTTCACAAGATCACTGTTTTTATAGTTTTTCAAAGCCTCACATCAAGCATTCTGACCTGAAAACTTCAGGTTTCACACCTGAGCTCCACTAGTCTCCCAGTAGATCTCCCTGGTGTTTACCTGCGAGTGGGATATGGAGCTTCCTTCTAGCCATGACAGGACCACACTTGGTAATTGCTCTAGGAGGCAAAATACCAGTGAAAATGGGGAGTTTTCCACTGTAGACATACCCTTGAAGAACATATTTCTTTTCTATTTCTGTGTGTTGAGAACTGAGAAAGATTGAGGCAAGCAGAAAGCTGCTCCATCTATGTGTCACCAATGGTAACGTATAGTGGTAGAATACTTGTGTTTTAATAAATAAAGCTTGCCTAAAGATCAGAGGACAAAGCAGCCACACTAATCAGCCACAGTGGTGGCACACACCTTCAATCCCAGCACCCATACTAGTTAGCCATAGAGGTCCTAGGGTCCTAGGGTCCTAGGTCCTATGAAGTCACATTGTTTGTGACATACGCCAAAATGAAGGCGTAAGTCACAAACAATGCCACACCAATTCGGGGTTATGATTATAAGGGTGGTATTTATTTAAAGGGGAAAAAACTTACAGATCACTGTCCCAGGCAACAGCCCTCTACGCAACCAGGAAAGGAGTCTAGTTGCCGGCGGAGCAGGAAGTGAAGAGAGAGAGGAGAGGGAAGTGGCCGCTTTTTTAAAGGGAGAGAAACCACGCCCCAATGGGCTGGTACCTCAGCGGCGATAGGCTGGAGGAGTGGGAGGACCTCCCGCAACACCTCCCCCTTTTGTTTAAATAAGAGAGTTCTAAACCTACTATGAAATTATATACAATAAGTACAAATATCCTATTCTAACTAGCTTAGGTCTTGTATAATAAATAACTTGGCCAAGTCATGAGAGAAAGTAACTACATTTATATAGTCTTCAACCCCATCAAAGATCTGAGAAGGGAAATAATGTTACCTGGGTAATTAGGAAGTTCAGTAAAACAACTTCCAAAACATGCAAAAAATCACAGAGACAACTGGCTACCTGGGCAATCACCCAAAATCACGTTAGCAGCATTGAAGCAACCAACTTTGGCTAAGGCCTAACATAACTGACATACCATTTTCAAAGGCAAGCAACTTTTCAAAACTATCTTACCCTGTCTTGGCAGGATATGACAGTCCTGTTTTATCCATTGATGCACGCTCTGTATCTTTGTCAATCATTGAGGTATGGGCATTTCTTTGCCCCAAGGCCAGTTCTGCCAAAAAGAAGGCTCCAGGTGGAATGTCTTTGGTGCTCAACATTCTCTTGGGAATAGAATGGTGTTGCCAGGAGCAATTGTGTCTCACTACCACAAAACTCTGAGTTAGATTAAAGGCCATTTTCTACAGCTCTTTGAAGAAGTTGAAGATTATCTATCTATCCTGAGTATAATCTCTATATATCTAAAGAACCTGATTAGTCTATTATAAATGACAAACTTAGATGACTATTAGTCTATATAATTCTCAATATCTATCTAACTTAAAGACTAAGACAATAAATGACTGTGAAACAAATGAGGACAATGACCTCCAAATATAAACAATGTACAAATATACATTGCAGTAGGTAAATATATATCAATACACAATCATTATATAAGTATCTTAATCAGAGGTAGAAATGTACACTGCAATATGGTAAATATATACTATATATATATATATATATATACATAAAAAATGTTTTAAACAGAGGTAGAAACATGCATGTGTACAATAGTCAACATAATTTAACTTTGTATCAATATACAAGAATCTATACCAATGTATTTGTCTAAAAACAGTAACTCACAATTAAAAATCTATTATCCCATCATCCCTCTTTTTTTTTTTCAAAATGATCCCTGAGCGTATAAAATTCCTCCCCCAACCCTCAGTCATATACTAATTATAATCAACCCCTAAATGATGTCCCTAAACCCAAGGGCAAACTTTACTGGGAGAGGGGACGTCGTCCTCTAGAATTACTTCCAGCTGTCATGGGGGCGACGTTCTTTCTGGGGGATCCTGTGAAAGTGAAATGATGGTTAAATTTCAAGATCAATGTCTTTTAAAATTGCCAATAGTCTCTGAGTATTTTGTGCAGGTCTGGCCAAAATGTTGTATAAGATGTGCACCATTTCAGCTGACCAAGTTGGAACTGTCTTGTGCAGCTGGTACCAAAAGCAGGTCTTGTAGTAGCGCTATCAGTATCATGACGTCATATCAACCAGGTGGAGTT